TTTTTTTTTTTTTTGCATTGCTAGGAATTAAACGTAGGGCCTTGTGCATGTGAGGCAGGCATTCCACCACTGAGCTATATCCCCAGCTCCCTTAAAATAATTTTTCAAATGATTGTTACTAATAATGCTACAGAATCCTTTGAAATTACCTTAAAATGGAAATGTTGCCTGACTATATTTTATAATATTTGTTTACCCTCTAGATATATGAGATAAGGATAAGAGAGCAGAGTAATCTTATTGACCCCCACCATTCTACTCAATGAATTTAGAATATTAGCCTACAAATTGTTGTTCATCTCAGTAGTACCTTATATGTTACATCCTCATGTAACTACTGAGTCCAGAGTCTTAGTTGACTATTGGGTGTCCCTAGAAGCAAGGATATAAAAAGGGAATATATTTAAATGGGTTATGATGGCTAATTTTAATAGAATTATAGTTGACATTTTATGTTTTCCAGATTATCAGTTAAGCAAGTACGAAATTTGAGATCAGAATGTATAGAACTGCAAAACCAAATAAAAAAGTAAGTGACTTTTAGAGCTGGAATTGGCTTATATGTATTTTATAGCAGTTGCATTTTATTTGTTTGAAGAAACAGATTCTCAGAAACATTAATTAAAATAATATGTCAGTAGCTAGATGATGATAGGACTAGAGCATAGTTCTGATTTCTAATCCAGTCTTAAAAATTATTGTTGCTTTGAGCTTGAATTTTATTTTTATTATTATTTTTTAAWTGAAATGACTATTAGTAGGTGGGTTTGTGGACCAATTTGGATATTAAATCACTGTGTAATTTTCTAATGACTAATTAGATTATTTAATTTTTGCTAGAATGGAACCCTGTGAGGATGAAAGTAACATACAAGAGAAAATTCAAAAGGTGAGACAACTTTGAAGGGACATATTCTTTTTGACTTTTGTGATATGTGATAATTGCTTAATTGGACTATTTTTTAATATATACCTACACACACACACACACATTTATTTATTTTTTTATTTAAAGAGATAGGGTTTCACTTTGTTGTCCAGGCTGGCCCTGAATTCCTGGGAGTCAGTGATCCTCTTGCCTCAGTCTTCAGAGTATYTGGAATGATAGGCATGTGCCACCATACCTGGCAACTGTATTCTATTTTCTTTTTGCAGTTTCTTTTTGTAGTAATACTACTTTTTTKTTTCTTTTTGCTCTTTTTAGAAGATATATAAGCCAATATCAATAAGATGCTAGTAAAACCTTGAATATAATAAAGAAAGTGGTTTATAATTTATATGATTAAGTACACAMGCAAAAATTGTTTTAAATGATGATTTTAAAATATTTATTCCAGCAAGAAAAATTCTGCTTGATTATAACTTAATTCCTGGTATTAATTTAGCTAAATAAAATAAATTAGCTGAAGGGAGATGGTAAGTTTAGGAAAATATGAGAAGTCAAATTTAGGATTACGTGGCAGTAGAGAGGAATCTGGAAAATGTAAAGTATCTAAGGCAACCAGAGGTTGGCTTTGATATGGGCTCAAAGTGTTTTCTTTTTGTTTGTATGGAATCTCTTTCAAGCTCTTTATTGTGATTCTTTGATTATCAAGCTGCTTTGGGTAATTTGGCATCTTATGTACCTTTTTACTAGAAAAGGTGAGTGCCCTCTTCAGGAAATAGTTAATCATTCAGAGAGTGTTTCTTTATTTTTTTGGTACTGAGGTTCTTTACCCCTGAGCCACAAGCATTTTTATTTTTTATTTTGAGTCAGGGTCTCACTAAGTTGTGTAGGGTCTCACTAAATTGTTGTGGTTATCCTTGAACTTGTGATCCTTCTGCCCCAGCCTCCCGAGTTGCTGGGATTACAGGTGTATGCCATTGTATAGGACAGTGAATATTTATTGATTGCCTTCTATGTGCCAGGCATCTTCTAGATATTTGGACTACAATAATGAAGAAACAGCCAAAGTTACTTTTGTTATGGATCTTTCAATTTTGTGAATAGGAACATTCTTAATATTGAATGCAATATCACTGATGATAAATTTAATAGGTTGGTATGAAACCTATTAATATTTTACATCATTCTGTCCTGAATGTGGTTATTATTCATTTCCCCTGAGTCCATCAGCTTTGAGTCATTAATAGACAAAATTCTAGACTTGTAAAAATTGAGAACTGGATACTGGATGATTATGAATTAGGAGGGAATCCCATCCTGTAAGACCAACAGGCCACCAACCAAGTCTATGTTTGGGGACAACTTTACCTTGTTATGCAGCACTTTAATTAGAGATATACTTCAACAGATTTTTCCAAGTAAGAAGAATACGGTAAAACATGACTACACCCATGTTAGTCTTCTCATGATTCAGATAAGATAATGAATAACATAAAAATACAAAAAAGGTGCAAATCATAATATGTAGCCTGTCAAATCTTCAATCTAGATGAACCTTTGTTTCCAGTTTTAACTATTACAAATAAAAGTTCTAGAATGTTTTTGTTAATGTTCTTATTTTAATTGATATAAATAATGATAGTGCTTTTTTAGGGGTACAATTCCATATGTTGATCTTTATGTAAATTATAGAAAGATTTAGTCAAGTGAGTAACATTGATTACCTTACCAATTTATCATTTTTTTTTGTCATGGGAATGTTAAAATCTATTAGCAGTTTTGAAATATGTATTGTTAATAACTGGTCACCATGCAGTGCAATAAGCCATTAAAACTTTTTTCTTTAGTCTATCTGAAACTTTGATAAATCTACTGTGGAAATTCTTGTATATGTATTTCTTTTTTAAATTGTTTTTTCTTTTTTTTTGGTTGATGGATCTTTATTTTATTATTTATATGCGGTGGTGAGGATCGAACTCAGTGCCTCAACATGCTAGGCAAGCACTCTACCACTGAGTTAAAACCCCAGCCCTTTCACAAGCATTTCAGTGAACATAGGTTAATATAGGCCTGAGAGTTTTTGCTTTTAGAGAAGCATAATTATATTTTAACTTTTCTGAAATCTGAATGACTTAAGATAAATGTTTAGTAGTATTTCTTTTCTCTTGAAAACCTTTTTTATTATTTTTCCTGAAAATTCTCCATTAAGATTTTTAGAATACAGGAAATACTAATTGTATCTTGGTATAAAGATTTTTTTTGAAAATTATAATTGAGCTAGATTCTTCTGAGAAATTCTTTCATTTTCAAGCCCCTTTAAAAGTAATATCAATGTTTTTAAACTATTAGAATTGGTAGTTTAATTTTCTCACTGGAATTCATCCCAGGAAATTTACTTATTAACTAGCAGTGAGCAAATATTTATGCNTGAATAACATAAAAATACAAAAAAGGTGCAAATCATAATATGTAGCCTGTCAAATCTTCAATCTAGATGAACCTTTGTTTCCAGTTTTAACTATTACAAATAAAAGTTCTAGAATGTTTTTGTTAATGTTCTTATTTTAATTGATATAAATAATGATAGTGCTTTTTTAGGGGTACAATTCCATATGTTGATCTTTATGTAAATTATAGAAAGATTTAGTCAAGTGAGTAACATTGATTACCTTACCAATTTATCATTTTTTTTTTGTCATGGGAATATTAAAATCTATTAGCAGTTTTGAAATATGTATTGTTAATAACTGGTCACCATGCAGTGCAATAAGCCATTAAAACTTTTTTCTTTAGTCTATCTGAAACTTTGATAAATCTACTGTGGAAATTCTTGTATATGTATTTCTTTTTTAAATTGTTTTTTCTTTTTTTTTGGTTGATGGATCTTTATTTTATTATTTATATGCGGTGGTGAGGATCGAACTCAGTGCCTCAACATGCTAGGCAAGCACTCTACCACTGAGTTAAAACCCCAGCCCTTTCACAAGCATTTCAGTGAACATAGGTTAATATAGGCCTGAGAGTTTTTGCTTTTAGAGAAGCATAATTATATTTTAACTTTTCTGAAATCTGAATGACTTAAGATAAATGTTTAGTAGTATTTCTTTTCTCTTGAAAACCTTTTTTATTATTTTTCCTGAAAATTCTCCATTAAGATTTTTAGAATACAGGAAATACTAATTGTATCTTGGTATAAAGATTTTTTTTGAAAATTATAATTGAGCTAGATTCTTCTGAGAAATTCTTTCATTTTCAAGCCCCTTTAAAAGTAATATCAATGTTTTTAAACTATTAGAATTGGTAGTTTAATTTTCTCACTGGAATTCATCCCAGGAAATTTACTTATTAACTAGCAGTGAGCAAATATTTATGCYTACATTTCTTTAATATATATATAATTATAATTATTATTTTTTTGGTACCAGAGATTGAACAACTGAGGGACACTTCCCCACTGAGCCACATCCCTAGCCAAATTTTGTGTTTTATTTAGAGACAAGATCTCACTGAGTTGCTTAGCGCCTTGCAGTTGCTGAGGCTGGCTTTGAACTTGCGATCCTTCTGTTTCAACCTCCCGGCCACTGGGATTACAGACATGTGCCACTGTGCCTGGCCATTTTTCTACTTTGAGACAGAGTCTCGCTAAGCTGCTTAGGGCCTTGCTAAATTGTTGAGGCTGGCTTTGACTTGGGATCCTCCTGCTTCAGCCTCCTGAGCCACTGGGATTATAGGTGTSCACTACCGTATGTATAAACTATGTGTAGATTTTGATATTTCATTTGTTTCTTTTTAAAGGTTCGGTCTTTGTGGACTTCAGTCAATGAAACACTCACGTTTTTGGAAAAAGAGAGAGAAGTTGTTAGTTCAGTCCTTAGTCTTGTTAACCAGTATGCTTTAGATGGAACTAATGTCATTATTAATATTCCAAGGCTCTTACTTGACAAAATAGAGAAACAAGTGTGTCAGGTAAGCATTAATATTTTCTAAAAAGCTTTTGGAAAAGCTCCATGCAGTGATTTTATATGTTAAGTTTGATTTTCTAGAAATATTTTTCTACTGTTTTTAAATTTTAATTTTGGAAATATATGTAGTAAAATCTTCATAAAGAGGGTACTTTTAAAGGGATATATATTTATTACTGTCAACTTTTATTATTTGTCTATACCTTATAYATCACACGGTGTAGAGAGGACAGGATTATTTAGTAGGTAGATAGTACTGTACTAGTTCTTAATAAATTCCCAAAGAGAAAAATTATCTCATAAAAAGTCTTCATACTGTTTTCTTTTTTATCTTTTATCTGTCAAGCATTCCATTTTATTTATTTTTTCCTCCTCTCATGGTACTGGGGATTGTTCTCGGGGGTCTCCTACCTCTGAGTTACATTTCTAGCCCTTTTTGTTTTTTATTTTGGTAAAATAAGGTTTTATTTAATAAGAGTTTCTCTAAGTTGCAGAAGCTGGCCTGAACTTGTGATCTTCTTATCTCAGCCTTCCATGTAGTACACTGCTGCACCCAGCTAAGATTTCTCTTCTTTTAGTGTTGTGATATCAGTGTCTGTTTTTTTTCTTTTTTCTTTTTTTTAGACTGCTGATCTTAGTTTTTTTTTTTTTTT